CTGAGGTCATTTGAGGGATAAATGCCTACCCAGTAAAGCATCAACAAATTAATTGTAGCGTTGTTTATACTATGGAAAACCCCACCTTCTTCCCACTTCCTGCCTCTGAAAGTTAAGTTCTCCAGGAAAACAGTCTTCCTCAACCAAAATACTGGCAGAGGTGGCAAGTTTGCTTTAGTGACATTGAAATTTATAACATTTGCTCAAAGTGCTACTTTATTTTATCCCTATTTGCCTGATCCTGGATGTCATGTTCTCGTCATATAATTAGCAGCTAACGCAACTAACACATGAGTAAGCTAAAAAAGTAATACTTCTCAGAGCAGCAAGGCCAAGAATTCGAAGGACACAAAAAAAATATGTCAGAATGACTCCATGGTTTGTTCAGTTTGGTTCTTTATATTCTGAATTTCTTAACTTCTATTCTTTAGAAGTTAAGAATTCTTCTATTCTATTTCTTCTTAACTTCTACTGTTTTTCTAGCCTAGTTTCTACTGATTTAGAAAATAGGATGCTGTTGGTAATAGGAAATGTTACTTTTATTGTATTTTATTGAATTTGTGCTGACTTTACCTATAGCCTGTACCCATTAGTTCACAGTTATTCGTATGATTCCTATTTATCTGTGGATTCCTGATACTTCTTTTTGTTTTGCTTTTGTCTCGGTGTTTCAGTCTCCTTCTGCTGTAAAGCTGTGCAGAATTCACATATTTCAGGTGGATTAAATTCAGAAAAAACTTCATATTAAAGAATTATTTCTGCTTCAAGAGTCTATAGTATTGCATTTAAAAGAATAATCTAAAGCAAGAAATATATATATCCATAAGCCACAGAATTTATGTTGCTTGTTTTACTATGACTTTGTTATTAAATTATCCTAATAAGCACAAGTTCTGATAAAACATCTTATGCCATAGGCATCTCTCTCTCTCTCTGATGTGGGCTATCTTGTGGCTTACAATAGAGTTATATTCATAATGTATTCTAATGTCAGTGTAATCAACTAAAGCAAAATGCATTTTGTATTTGCTCTGTATACTACATGCCCAAAACCTACAGCTAAATAATACCAGAATGCAAGGAAAAAATTGGTGGCATCACAAGGAGAAAGCATTGAATATTTCTTCAAGTTTATGGGTTTATGGTTTGACCAATGTAGTTGTCCCACATGTTTTTTTTTATATTATTATTATTTTTTTTTCACGTGTGTGTCCTAGTATGTAGTCCACTGTAGGTTGTTATTATACTGTGGTAAAATAACATAATCTGGCTGGTAGGAAAAAGAGGGCTGAAGTTAGACTTATTCCACTTCACACATTACATCACCTGAGCCATGCTACGTGATTAAGAATAAATTAAAAATCTGTACTTTGAGATAGCAGAGACAAGATCACAGAATCACAGAATTGTAGGGGTTGGAAGGGATGTCAAGAGATCATTGGGTCCAACCCCTCTGCCAAAGCAGGTTCTTTAGAGCAGGCTGGCCAGGTAGGTGTCCAGACAGGCCTTGAATATCTCCAGAGGAGACTCCACAACCTCCCTGGGCAGCCTGTTCCAGTGATCCATCACCCTTACCATGAAGAAGTTCTTTTGCATGTTGGTGCAGAACATCCTGTGCTCCATTTCATGGCCATTGCCCCTTGTCCTGTCCCCACAGACCACTGAAAAGAGGTTGGCCAAATCCCTCTGTCTCCCACACCTCAGGTATTTATAAACATTGATAAGATCCTCTCTTAGTCTTCTTTTCTCCAGGATGAACAGACCCAGGTCTCTCAGCCTTTCCTCATAGGGGAGATGCTCCAGGCATCCAGGCATCCAGGTATCATCTTTGTGGCCCTCTGCTGGACTCTTTCCAGGAGATCCCTGCCTTTTTTGTACTGGGGAGCCCAAAACTGGACATAGTACTCCAGGTGAGGCCTGACCAGGGCAGAGTAGAAGGGGAGGATCACCTCCCTTGACCTGCTGGCCATGCTCCTTTTAATGCACACCAGGATCCCATTAGCCCTCTTGGCTATGAGGGCACACTGCTGAGTCGTGGTCAACCTGTTGTCCACCAGGACTCCCAGGTCCTTCTCTGCAGAGCTCCTCTCCAGTAGGTTGTCCCCCAGCTTGTACTGATACTTCGGGTTGTTCCTTCCCAGGTGCAGGATTCTACACTTGCTCTTATTAAACCTCATTTGGTTTCTTCCTGCTCAAATATACCACATGTTCAGTGAACAAAGAAAAGTGCGATTCAACTACTGTACTGGGTCTGGCTGGGATGTTAACTTTCCCTGCAGCAGCCTATACACTGCTGTGCTCTGCACTTATAGCTAGAACTGCAGTGTTATCACACCAGTGTTGTGTCTGTTGCTAAGCAGTGCTGGCACAATATCAGCACTCTCTCTAACCCTCTTAGGGGGTGCACAAAAAAGTGAGAAAGGAAACATCACCAGGGCAAGATAAAAGCACAAAACTTATATTTGAACACAGATCTAAAGCTGGATTTAACCCATTTGGAGAAAGCATTCTCGTGCTGTTTCGTAATTAAAACTCACGAGGCATAGCCTGTTTCTTTTGGATTTGAGGGTCTTTCATTCCCTTAAATCTTTAACTCTTGAACTTCAGCTACTTAATTTTTTTTTTAATTTAAAAGAAACAAAAAGAAAAATATCAAATGAATCTGTCCTGGACAGCTCTTATGAATGAAAAGATTAATCTGAATATATTGTAGGATAGCAAACATAATAACCCCAAATTATTAGTTCATTTGTTCTTGTGTGTGTGTGTGTGTGTGTGTGTGTGTGTGTGTGTGTGTGTAATTTTTAGTTGCAACTCATCATTTTGAAAACAGTCAAAGCTTATTTGGTCAATGACTAAGCACACATTGCAAGTAACTAGTACAGCAACAATTTAATTAAAAAGAAATTTTCCATTCTTCTCGGAAGGCACTAAATAAGAAAACTGTAAATAAGTTTTTATTTATGAGATATTTTGTATGATAGTTTGCCTAACTTATAGGAAGAGACGGGACCCGTTGGTCAAGTTTTCCATACCATTTTAATTTTTCCCTCTGCAAATACCTCTCTTATTTATTTTCTAGAAAACATTTGGTCTCTTTTGGTTCAGGGTTTTCCTAACTCCTCTGGGAAACTGCTTCTTTTTTTCCTGAAACTGAGGCAGGTCTGTGACCCAGCTCTGTCACAATGTTAACTCCTCCATCCTCCCCAGAAGAAACCAAAACCAAGACATCAACAATAAAAGTTGTACTCAAGTACACTCAATACTGTGCCAGGGGTCTTTCTTCAAGCATCTCAAGGTTAGACTTTCCTGCTTTTTGTCCTTATACTTTGGGATAACAGGGCACATTAAAATCCTGAGTGGCAGCTTTGAAGGGTGTTCCTCATCACCTATAGAACCGGTTTATTCTTTGTAATTTAAAAGCATAAGTATGGTCTGTGTTAATGAGTGCAATAACACCATTCAGGATCTGTGAGGTCTGGGGATGAAATATTGCAAGGGCTACACTAAATTAAAAGAGTTGATTGTCTACTGCTGTGATTTCTAGAATATTACAGAATGGTTGAGGTTGGAAAGGACCTCTGGAGGTCACCTAGTTCCAATCCCCTTGCTCAGGCAGGATCACTTATAGCAGGTTGACCAGGACCATATCCAGATAGCTTTTGATTACCCCCCAAAATGGAGATTCTACAGCCTGTCTCGGCCATCTGAGCCACCTGTGCCTGTACTCAATTGCCCTCACAGTAAAGAACTGTTTTCCTGAAGTTCAGACAGAACCTCCTGTGTTTCAGTTTGTGCCTATGGCTTCTTGTCCTGTCACCAGGACACTGGTGCACTGAAAAGAGCCTGGCTCCCATCCTCTTTATATCCTAGCTTCAGATATTCATGCACTTTGAGATTCCTCCTGAGCCTTCTCTTCTAGTCTAAACAGTCGTAGCTCTCTCAGCCTTTCCTCATATGAGAGATACTTCATTCCCTTAATCATGTTCATTGTCCTTTGCTGAACTCTCTCTAGGAGCTGCATATGTCTTTCATACTGAGGAGTGCAAAACTTGACACAGTACTCTAGGTGTTGCCTCACCAATACTGAATAGAGGAGGAGGAGAAGCACCTCCCTCAATCTGCTGTTTGCATCAACGGACCTAGTTGAAATTTGGTGACTGTACTTGTAAATTCTTAATCAACACCAAAGGAACTACTAAAATAATCCAGTCTGGTGGAAGTGCCAAAGGCATTCTTCAACTATAAATGAATCATTTGGTCTTGAACATGTCTGATTACATGCTCTTTTCTAGCACTGGCATACATTTTAGTTTCTGTTAATTTCCTTGATTTTCTCAACATCAGAGAAAAAATAGTATAACTAAGCTTTTCAATTTTCCTCATAACTTTGTTTGATGAGTAACTATTTCAGATCTTCTTCCATGAATTATCCCATAGGAAACCTTGTTAAGACACACAGGGAATGCTTATTGGTACTTCTTCTTTTCTATTAATTATGGGAGAAATTCAGATGCAGATTTTTTTTTAAACCATTTAAAACATTATTATTTTCAAAACTTTTATTTATTTATTTACCTACTTGTTTTTCTTCTGGGTCTTGATATAACTAGCTTACTGGCAGGAAGAGTATCATATGACCTGTCATTCCATATCTTCTGGGCCTCAAAATGTGGGCTATATAAACCAGAAACATTTTGGACTTATGCATTTCTCCTAGCTTTCCCTCTGCTGCCACCGTATGGTTGAGCATCAGTAAGATAGGAGATAATGAACTAACTACCTGCCTGCTTGCTTGCTTGTTTTACCACTGCATTTGTTTGCTTTTGTTGGTTCCTTTTTTTTTTTTTTTTTTTTTTTCATTCAAAAATATCTCAAATGGTGCATTACTTGTTTTTTAGGGAAATTTTTGAAAGTTCATACTCTCTCAAGAAATGTTCTGTAGACAGGCACCATGTGTTTCTCTGTGTTCCTTAGCAGCCACTTTTACTTGACTGCAGGATCTGTGAGTCCCCGCTCCTCCAGGCTGCCAAGGAGAACAACATCCCAGCCATTAGGAAACTTCTCATTGATGGAACATGTGATATCTACCAGAGAGGTAATGCAATTATTTGCTCTAAATTGTTTTCTGGGGAAAGCAAGAGACTGCTACAATGAGCATAGTAGTAAGTTAGTTTGTTACAATATTTGCATTGGCAGAATCAATTGGCTTTAAATGTATGTCAGCAGCCTTGCAATAAAGTCAGTTCTCTAACTCCTGTCGTCAAATCCTAAATGGTTGGTGAAGTTCAGAGTTTTACAGCCTGAAGAGGCTTTTTTTTACATTTTACTTGATGTGCGAGTCTGCTGCTGCTTGCACTTATGTGGCCATTACCATGTGTGATGAGGTGGCACCTGGCAGTACTCAAAGGAGAACTTAGCATTCCCATAATTCTCCACCCCAATATTTCCATATCTTATTTTGTCCCATCTAGCTTATGTCTAAATGTCTAGATGACTCATGTGCTTCCCTTACTGTTTCTAGGTGCAACAGGGGAGACTGCCCTTCATGTAGCTGCCTTGTATAATAGCGTGGAGGCTGCAGTGGCTCTAATGGAAGCAGCTCCAGAGCTTGTCAATGAGAAGATGACATCAGAGCTCTATGAAGGTAGCATTTCAAGGAATGAGGATGGGAAAAGGTTCCCTGCACGGGGAGGGAGGAAGTATTAGCTGTTTCTATTTCGGAAACTGGCTTATACCATGCTTGGTTCAATATATTACTGAAGTGTCACATTGCAAAATCAATATACAAATGATTCCTGACCCTTTGTGGAAGGTGGGACTATATTAAAACTAGCATGTAGCAAACATGCAAATGCACAACTCACAAACCATTAAATACAGGTGGGCCTGTTGGCTACAATGGGATGGCAAAAATATATAGAGTTTTGCTTTCTGCTATAGACACATCTAGTCATGTTGGAAATTTCAGGTTGGAAATTAAGAGAAATTTCTTCTCAGAAAGAGTGGTTAGGCATTGGAACAGGTTGTCCAAGGAGCTGGTAGAGTCACCATCCCTGGGGGTGTTTAAGGAAAGGTTGAGGCCATTTCCCATTGTCTTAACACTTAGTGTTTAGGAGAAGAGCCTGATCCCCACATCACTGCAGCCTGCCTTAAGCTACAATAAGGTCTCCCCCGAGCCTTCTTTCCTCCAAGCTAAACAGTCCCAGCTCCCTCACCCACTACTCATAAGACTTTTTCTCTCAAGAGCTTCATTGCCCATCCTCGGACATACTCCAGCAACTCAATGTCCTTCATATGGTGAGAAAAGATCTCTGAAATGACAAAAAACAGTTATTTCACTGACAAATAATGGAGATTAAAACCAAATGTGGTTGCTGTTACTGACTGCATCCTGCAGATTTTTGGCAGTTTGTAAAATCATTTTTCATTAATTCATAAAAAAGATTTAAGTAGAACAAGACTACTGGATGTCTCCAGTCTTCTGCACACAACAGGGCTAACTTCAAAGCAAAATCATATTCCTCTTATGGATGCAATCCCAATAAACTTGGATTTACTATGTGTTAAAAGCTGCTTTCTTAGAAGGCAAGGTTTTATTTCTGTGTTTTACAGGGCAGACAGCTCTTCACATTGCAGCAGTGAACCAGAACATCGCTTTGGTGAAAGCTTTACTCAAGAGAGGGGCCAATATCTGCACAGCCCAGGCCACTGGGCACTTCTTCAGACGCAGCTCCCAGAACCTTCTCTATTTTGGTACATCCTTATCTTCTTCCCTTGTTGCTATGGGAGGCAACCAACAGAGTGATGAGGGAATATGAGAGAGACTTGCCTTGCTCCCCATCTAAACTGCATAAGTGGAGGCTTCTGTCTTCAGGAGTCATCATTCACGCACTTTTTAGCTGATAGTAAAGCTCCATCTAAGTATGTAAATACTACATAAATACAAGTACCTAAATCATATACATTTTACATATTTGCATGTATACAAAAATTATATATCACTTAAAAATATAATGTAATTTCTTTGTAGCAGCATATACTGTAACACACTTGTCATCCTTTTTATGGACATACTCTTCTGAAAAGAATACTCTCCCCTTTCAATATTGTGTCAGACAGGTGCTTTCTGAGTAGGATGAGGAGTGATGCAGGAACTACAGATTGCTTTTATACCCTCTGGCTTTGTGACATGAATAGATTTTCTTCAGAATGCTCCGACCTCACTTGCCTGCTAGGGTCTTAATATTGATCCTCCCTATTCCTTTCTTTGCAGGAGAACATGTTTTGTCTTTTGCTGCCTGTGTGGGAAATGAGGAGATTGTGCAGTTGCTCATTGAAAATGGAGCTGACATTAGAGCTCAGGATTACCTGGGTATGTGACTAGTGAATTACATACAGTGGATCTGGACACTTTAAATCAGATCCTATCATCTATGTACACACACATTTTTCTCTCATTACAAACAGATTTGGGATGAGGGTTGTGAGGAAAATGAAAGCCATAGTTAATAGTATCAGTGTATTGCCAGTCTTTTCACAGGTTTGGGCTATTTAATGTATTTTATCTGTTCTGTTTCCTTCACAGGTAACACTGTTCTTCACATCTTGGTTCTCCAGCCTAATAAAACATTTGCCTGCCACATGTACAGCCTGATACTTTCCTATGACAGAAACAAGGAAGGACCAGGATCACTTGAATTGATTCCTAACAATGAGGGGCTTACTCCATTCAAACTGGCTGGAGTTGAGGGCAACACTGTGGTGAGTTTGTATGACTCAGTTGCTTCTAAAGATTTTATTCAGAAACAGAGAACTTAAAATAATATTACACAGAGCACAGGAGTTTCTGCATACTGTTAGTGGGTAGAAGATACAAAACAAGTCATTTTATTTATTTATTTATTTATTTATTTATTTATTTATTTATTTTCCCCCCTGGAAATCTTATATAAGACCAGAGAACCTGTATAAGAAATTTCTTCATCCTAATGAAATAAACTAATGGTTATATAATAGATCTTTTGGTCTAAGTTTTGAAGCATTTCAGTTAAATAGCTGTTAACAGAAATATCCACCTCCAGCCATATTTGAAAAGTCTGACTGAAGTTGTTTTTGTTGTCTATATTTTGTTACCCTAAATGTAATGCAAAGAGAAGTTCTCCAGATATCTACAGACACTTATTTGGAGATAAGATCTCAATATTAAATATAAACTCTCATCTTTCCCTTTAACAAAAAGACAAAGATGGTCAGTGTTGCTTCTGTAGATCCACAAAAGACTATCCCTTTCCAAACCTCTTTCCCGACAACCTGTAGAAAAGTATAAAAGGAATTTTTTTTTTTTTTCCTAATCAACACATGAAATCTATACTTTGGAGACATTAATGTGTCAAATAACTTCAGCAGTTTGACTAGAGTTAAGAACTTGTGCTTTACTTCAAACATGAGCTGATAATCAAATGGGAGACTGAAGTTCTTCCCTTTCTTAACCTGCTGGAAGGTATAATTGTCTCAGACAGATGTGAGAACCACAGTAACAAAGTTCAAGGAAAATATTTGGTAATACATAGCTTTTACACACTTCAGTGTATACGCAATAAGAACAAATACTTACTGGAAAGCTTCTGATATCTTCACCCCACTTCTTATCTCCCCAGATGTTTCAATACCTCATGCAAAAGCGGAAGCACAATCTATGGTCCTTTGGACCCTTGACCACTGTGTTATATGATCTCACAGAGATTGACTCCTGGGCTGAAGATCAGTCCTTTCTTGAGCTCATTGTCTCAACCAAGAAGAGAGAGGTACTGTGGGCACAAAATGCTTTCCATGTGCATACCATGGTGATTATAAAAGGAGAAGAATGATGAGTTTGAAGACTCATACTCTTCCATATTCTCCCAAGCACCAAGTGATGACACAAGGGGAAATGGCCTCAAATATCTCCAGGGGAGGTGTAGGTTGAAAATTAGAAGAAATTTCGTTACTGAAGGGGTTGTGTGGCATTGGAACAGGCTGCCCAGGGAAGTGGTTTAGTCACCATCCCTGGAGGTCTTCAAGAAACATGTAGACGTAGAACTTAGTAGCATGGTTTATTAGTGGACTTGTCAGTAGTATGTCAAAGGTTAGACTAGATGATTTAAAGAGGTCTTTTCCAACTTGAATGATTCTATGATTCTTTGATCCACAGGGCAAGGACTTTGTACTATATATTTCAGGCAATATATGAAATATAGCAGCTTTTTAATTATGTGCTTATATTTCAAGTTTTAACATTTTTTTTTCTGAGATGTGGAGCTTGCAGATGATTGAAAGAATTTCATATTAGCAAGCTACAGGAAATGTGATTCAGTGAAGGTTCTCTCTCCTTTCCCAGCCTTAAAGATATAAATAACAAGTAGCTCAAGAGTAGCTCTAGCAAGTAGTTTCTGTAGCAGTGATACTGATTAACTCTCACAACATTCCTGTGAGGTAAACTATGTTCAGAAATCCTAAATTGGAACACATTTTAAAAACTCTCATTATTGTTTTCTTCATTTAATGGCATTGCTTATCCAGGTTATGACACAAAACAAAGTGCGCCGTTTATCTCTGCTGAATCAGAGATGAATCAGAAGACACTTGAGCTATTAAATAAATGTTTTAGTACAATGCTCTCAATCATATATTATCTCACTTTATAAAAAATTAAGTTAAACTTCTGTAACAAAAGTTTCAGCTATTGGAAAGCTTTGTACTATGAGGAGGAAGTTCATGAAATTCTCATTTGTTTATGTTTAAAAATCCTCTGAGCTACTATGTATGGTGATACATATGGAAATTCAGAGGAAAGCAGTCCATGTCATAAACCAAAACAACTTTAGAAGTCATCCAGAAGGCTAAACCATAACCCTAAAAGAAAGAATATCGTGCATCTTTTTTTTTTTTTTTTTTTTTTTTTTTTTTTTTCCGGAACACATAGTAAATGCAGATCCAACATTCTCAGTTTCAGAGGGTAAGGTGTCCCCAGAAACCATCAGACTTCTTTGTTTTCCAGAATGCTCTTAAACATGAGTAGCTGCAATTTTTGCATGTATAGCTTGGAATTCTTTTCTGTATGTTGTATACCTTTAGCCCAAATATTTCCCATCTTCTCTGGACTTCTTGACTTATATCTCCTTCTTGCTCATTGCAGCAGTCCACTAAATGGTACAAGAAGAAGTAGGTCTAGAAGAATTTAATTGTGTGGATCAATTTCATTAGCATAAGTCCTACTTATGCTCTAAGTGTCAATCTTTTATCAGAAATTGAAGATTTGATATAGATGATTCAATTAAGTACCACCCAGTTCATAATTCAGAAACCTAAAATGTTATATTTTTATATAAGCTATGAAGCTTTAGATAAGTACTAATCACATTTGAAAAAGAAGTTCTTATTTTTTTATCCTAAATAATCTGAGAAAAAAAATACCCTTATTACTGTACTAATGGTAATAGTCTGCTTTCCTTAGTTCTTTGTTCGCATACATATCAAAAACATTTTTTTAAGTTTATCAGAAACTTTAGTTGTTAGTCTTCTGTTTTATCTTCACGGATCTGTCAGAAACGGGATATTTTTCAGTGAATTATATATATGGCTTTTTCTCCTTTCTACAGAAAAGTCCTTGTTGTCTTTTTGGTTCTCAACTAGCAAACTCAACAAGGATTACTGGAAAAGTAGCTTACTGTTCTTACAAACCCTACATTCCCTACATACGTTCTATAAGAATAGCCAGTCAAATTCTTCCCTTTTCATAGGCAGACAAACTGCAAATGAAATAACACTGGTTGTCTTGAAGTAGACTGAGCCCCTTGACTTACAAAGCAAAGTTTCATCCTTCATAATGTTCTGATTTTGACTGGGATAAAGTGAATTTTCTTCACTGTAGCTGGTATGGTACGGGGTTTTGAATTTACGGTGAAAATAATGTTAACACACCAATGTTTTAGTTGTTGCTGAGCAATGCTTGCACTAAGTCAAGGACTCTTTGACTTATACTGCCTTGCTGGTGAGGAGGCTGGCGGTGTACAAGAAACTGGAAGGGAAAGCAACCAGAACAGCTGACCCAAATTGACCAAAGGGATATTTCATACCACATGATGTCACACTAAACAATAAAACTGGGAGAGGGGGCTACTCTTGCTCAGGCACTGGCTGGGCATCAGTCAGCTGTTGGTGAGTGAGTGCATTGTTTTACATCACTTGTGTTCTGTATGCTTTACTTTTCTTTTACTTCTTTTTCCCCTTTTCTGTTAAACTGTCTTTATCCCAAACCATGAATTTATTTATTTATTTATTTATTTATTTATTCTAAATCTGCCCCCCATCAGTCTCTGGGGAACAAACAGCTGTGTGGCATTTAGCCGTCTGCCAGACTAAATTGCAACACAAACATACCAGCTGTAGTCCTGTTTCTAGTTCTTGAATATTTCCACCAGTGTTGAGATCAACAGAAAATACACTTACACAATGGGAAGACGGATGAAGGACTGCAGGTTAGCACTTCAGTTGTAGGAAACCAGTATAAAGACAACTTCAGCTCAGATATACTAATATCTTCCAGATTGGGAAGGTACCCTAAGCAGCTGTAATAAGGTGACAGAAGAATACATTTTCTGGGGTTGCAGGCTCCAATAGGCAAAATGCCTTTCTTTAACTTGAAAATAATACAGCTTAAAATTGAATGAAAAATAATAATTTCTTTTGAAAATATTTAAGGTAACTTATTTTATTATATAAAGTAGAGATCTGGCTCTTCAACTATTGCAGATTTTGGAGGCTATCATAAATATGATAACCTGAACCGTCATCATCCATCCACTGCAAATAACATTTACCACTTCTCTTATACTTATTTCCTTTCAGTGGGACTCTATGTAGTTTATGACTACTAAAGAATCATAGAGCTTTTTTTTGCTTTTTTTTTTTTTTAAATGACCCTAATATTATCTTTTCCATTTTATTCATGTCAGTATAGTGCTCTTGTCAGTACAATGTACAATGTGTTCCAGTAGTGTATTGCATACAAAAATATAACTTTATTTCCCACTTGGTTCATTCATTCTTCACAGAGTAGTTTTCTAAACAGAACATCTAGTTTTGAATGAGCTTTTAAGTGATTACTTTTTTTTTTTTTTTTTTTTTTTGCACACAGTATTATGTGTTCACACTGGAAAAATCAAGGTAAAGAAACACAGTTAGCCTAGATTCATCCCATCTTGAATATATGCGTTTATATATATAAATATATATACATGTATATATGCTCAGGTGACATATTTTTCCCATGTAAAATTATTCAGTCTTAAGTCTTTTTTTAACCTAGAGCATTTAAAGAAAGATTGACACACTGTTCCTGGGAAGAATGATATTTCCTTAACAATGAGGCCACAATTTCATCTTGTCTTAGGGAAACAGTTACAAAGAGTGGAGTAACTTTGATCTTTCCATGTTTAATAATTGCTAGTGTGGCAAATCAATGGATTCATCCAGAGGTGTAAGTTAGCAATGCTTAACAGAGAAAAATTGTGATTTTTTTTTTAAATAACATCTCCCTGTATTTTCTTTGCCCTTTATATGTATGTGTGTAAACACACCAGATCAACCATGAGGGCACTTCAGAAAATTTCTGGATTCTTCCTGTTAGTTTTGTAAATTGTATAGTAGGAGATTTTTCACTCCAGTGTTTATAACTCCACTCCTCTAACTTTTTGTAGAAGCTTTTATTTTTCTAAATTTTCTCAGCTGCACAGTATGTATGAAAATATGCAGATCTTTGACAGAAGCACAACTGTAAACTATGTAATAGTGCCATTTTTCCTATCGTGTAAGCTGCTCTCTGAAGCTTCTATTTACTCCTGGAAGTACACAGTCTTCTAAATATACCGGAGCTGCACCACTGATACTTTAAAAAGAAAGGCCAAAACTTTGAATATGATATAAACAGTCTAAAGGAAGTAAGCTGAAAGAGACTGTAGGGTTTGTGTGTGTATTTTGTTGTGTGTTTTTTAACAGTAGTCCCACTGGGGATATACTTCAGTTTTTATCATCGTACTTGAATAATGAAAACTTGAAAATCCAGGCCATTAGTAGTCTGTATTCAGACAAAAATAAATGAACCTTCAAAATCTTTCTGAAGTCTCCTTAGTTGCCTAGGTAATGTCAGAGATTTTTAAAATGTCAGAGTTTTTAAAAGAGCATTAATGATCTATAGGACCTTTTGATGTTTCCTAGAGATACAGAATTTCCACAATTTCAAGTTGATAGATTTAGCTGTTGGAATATAAAAAAAAAAAAAAAAATCCAATTCAGAGAAAAACATCTAAGTGAATTCCACAAGATGCTTAGAAGCTTCTTTTCCATAGCTGGAAATAGAGTTTAAAATATTCTATTTTCAATTCTGTGTTGTAATAATGTTGTATATTTTAAACAGAGGAGAGCATTTGCCTGCTGTGAAGTGCATTGTGCTGTCTCGCTTAACACAAAATATTTTTCAAAATTATTCCAGTTACAGTGAAAGATAATGCATTGAAATATACATGCATATTCAAATACATGTTCACAGGTTTTGTAAACATTCTGACAGAGTAAAGTTAGCCCAACCATTCTGTATTCATATCTTATTCTCTATGGATATCCTTGTAAAAGGTAATGGGATCTTTCATAAAGGTCGCTATCAAATTCTATTTTAAATAATACCTTTTAGTTTCTATAACACAGATTCATATATCCACATTCATGGACCTAGATCATAGGTCTGTCTCAAGTGTTTATGTGGAACCAGGTCTACAGATATAGAAAATGTATTCAAGTCTAACATACTTTTCTTGTTATTTCCATTGGTGCTCAAAATCTGTTCTCTGAAAGACATACTTTTTTACATTTCCAAAATTCTACTGGTAAACTGAAGAAATACAAACTCACTTCAGCGTTCCCATTTTGGGGGAAATAAAAAAAATAATAAATGTAAATGGCTTCCTAAATCTGAATAGCATAAGTAAGAACAACTTGTTAACATACACCCTGGAAACTGTGAATGTTACTCATAAACAAATACCCTCACAGTGAATAATTCTTTCTTTGTATCTTCCTCAGGCACGCCAGATCTTAGACCTAACACCTGTGAAGGAGCTGGTGAGCCTGAAGTGGAATATGTATGGACGGCCCTATTTCTGTTTCCTGGCTTTATTCTATGTACTCTACATGGTCTGCTTCACTATGTGCTGTGTCTACCGGCCACTGAAAGCCCGAACAGGCAACAAAACAAGCAGTAGAGACAATACAATCTATGTCCAGAAAATGCTGCAGGTACTGTGTCAGTAGTAGTCAGGGCCCCACAGGCAGCATTGGGCAATTCCAATAATCACCTACTTAACTGGAAAGTCCAAGTATTCCCCAGTCCCCAGCTTTTGCAGCTGTCCTCCTTTTCTCTTGCCATCAGCTGACCTTCATCAATGAGGAACTCTGGGTATGGTCTGTTCTCTGTTGTTTGGCCTGGGATGGTTCCTGTGGTCTTGTCAGGCTTAGTCACATTTCTTACACTAACATTAGGTCTTCTTTTCCTGCCATCTATTTTAATTTCTTCTCACTCCTTTTTTCCTTTCAGGAATCATATATAACATATGAGGATGAGTTGAGGTTGGTGGGGGAGCTGATCACAGTGATTGGAGCTGTAGTAATTTTGATCCTTGAGGTAAGAGAAACAGTGAGCTCTGCAGTTTTGAACTTAATCTAGGCAGATTTTACCTACTGGACAAACAGGAGTTTGTCCTCAAAACTTGGTAAGGATTATTCAATAAGTCTAAATGCTTCGATATACATCTATGGCAGTTGACACTGTCAACAAAATCTATTAGGTGAAACAGATGGTGAGAGATTACTAGTAAAACTCCAGGTACAGAAGGAGTAATTAGATGGACTGGTTGCTATCAGATACTATCTGCAGGGTAATGTCAGAGATCCCATTAGCATCATCTGCAGTTCCAGCTGAATCCCAGCTGTTACATGAGATTCTTAGAGACTTTTTGTACTTACGTATTTGGGGATGCTGGGTAAAGTGATTCCTGTGGTTACATAGGAAAGTCTGTATTTAACTGGAGATCAGTGACTACATGAGCCTATAAAAGGAGCCTTACTCAACCAGAGTTCTGCAGAGGCCATGTCTAGGTAATCTTACCATGATTTTCAGAATTGTGATTTTAAAATTAAAAAAGAGATGAAGTTTTTAAAATGAAGCATATGACAAACACACGATTTTATTAGAATATGAAACTGTTATATAGAGAAAGCTCAAATGAAGATCTCAGGGAGAACTGAAATAAAATGGAGTTTACAAACTCCATTAAAAAAGGAAAAAAGAATGATTTCTCTCTGCTCATATATGTTCCAGAAGGACAGGTACTTATTTCCATGCTTGGACAGGACTCTATGACTCCCCTACAAGTAACACAGTGAGTCTGAAAAATACCAAGCTCCTCTGAGTTTACAAGTTTTTTGTTGTTGTTTTTTTTTTTTGTTTTTTTTTTTTTTTTTGTTTTTTTTTTTTGTTTTTTTTTTTTTGTCTTTTCTGAGGCTCAGCAGATCTGGTCTCTTCTCAGTAGTCCACAAGAACTTCAGGATCACAGCATGGTGATCTTCATAGCAAAGTCTCTCAATCTGACCAAGCATTCTCAGGTTTTCCAAGAAAAGGGCAGTATCTGCCTTATTCAAAAAGGCATCTGATTAATTCATTCTGTTTTTAAAGTAAATTTTCAGTCAAACTGTGAAGCAGTAAACAAAGCAGATACCGCTGGCTCCAAGACCCTTTTAAAATTAATGGTTACCATTATGTTTAATAGTATAACGCAATCTAAGTCCTAAAGTCAATAGGATGTCATTCTTAGATCCCAGATATCCTTAGAGTTGGAGCAGCGAAATACTTTGGACAAACCATCCTAGGAGGGCCTTTCCACATAATTGTGTAAGTACACCACCTTTTAAGTTCAATAAACTTACTGTTTCTCATTCCCTCCTGCACCTCCTACCTCCACTCCTCCAGTCTTCTGCCAGAAGAGTAACCTTCTCCATTCTCTTAAAGTATCGTTCCTCTTGATTTCTTTCTCTGACTGTGTATAAGAAGCCAGGTGAGTGTACAGGTAGAGCTGAGCATGCTGACTGGTTTCTGCTTATGAATTGATAGCTGTATGTGCCTGTCTTGGAATTTTTGGAAAGAAAAGATAAGCAAGGGTAAAAATTATTTACCGAACTATTTTCACTCTCTTCTTCCTTTGCAGTATCACATATGCTTGTATGATTCTGGTAACCATGGTAATGCGTCTCACCAGCACTACTGGTGAGGTGGTGCCCATGTCCTTTGCCCTGGTACTAGGATGGTGCAATGTCATGTACTTCGCACGAGGCTTCCAGATGCTTGGACCCTTTACCATCATGATCCAGAAGGTATAAGAAACAAATATGGGCTCATTGTGTACATCTTAGCACCTCTCTGCAGACAGGGAGATCTGAAAGAATATTTTTTCTCCCTCTGGACTTGCATTAATGCCAATTGTAAAGTCTGCATGAAGCATTTGGGAGTTTTGCATTCTCTCTGTAGTGGAGAAGCTTCCTTTAATACACTTATGGTCTTTGGAAATGGTTTACACGGGATTGCATGGTAACTTGGTGAAACAGCTGAGCCTTATGGCGGCTCTATCTTTGCTCTACAGATGATATTTGGAGATCTTATGCGCTTTTGTTGGCTCATGGCTGTGGTGATACTAGGCTTTGCATCAGGTGAGTCTACAAAAGGTAAACAGTGTTGTGTTACCCTCACAAATTGATAAGAATTAAGTGCAGTGGATTTTGGATTATTCTCTGGTCACCCCCTTAGTTATCTGGCAAAGGTGGTGATGATGTATAGTTCCTGTTTCTTTGAGTACGGTCTCTTTCCCAACACTGATTTCTGTTTGGTTTTCAACTCTTACTCTTTCCAGGATAGTATAAATTAGGACAACCCAGATAAATCCACATATATGTAAGTCAAAGTTTAAAAACACATTGCATTTGTGGTATTTATGTTTGGAAAATGGGATTAACATACATAGCTTTGTTCTATCCATGAAGAAGAAAAGAATGATATTTTTAAGGCATTTTGAGAGCAGATAAATAGAGTAATTCAGAGTAATTTTTAAATGGTGACCAGTGATTCTAGTCAGGGATTTGCCATTGTTATGCTGCATAGTGCACTTACATAGAAATATATGTAGCTCTTTCCCAGAACACCTAGTGTTGTCAGTTTTTGTTATAGGACCCTGTTGTTGCTCTTGGAATGTTATTCACATTTTAAAACTCTCTCTATATATATATGTATATATATTTATTTTTTTTTTCTCCTTGGTCTACTTTAGCTTTTTACATCATCTTCCAGACAGAGAACCCTGAAAACCTTGGGCAATTCTATAACTATCCCATGTCCTTGTTCACCACCTTTGAGCTGTTTCTCACTATAATTGATGGCCCTGCAAACTATGATGTGGACCTGCCTTTTATGTACAGTGTCGTATATTTTTCCTTTGCCGTCATTGCCACCCTCCTTATGCTCAACTTGCTAATTGCCATGATGGGTGACACCCACTGGAGAGTGGCCCATGAGCGGGATGAACTCTGGAGAGCCCAGGTAATCTAGGTGGGGGGGTTTCTCTGAATAAAAGTGGGGAAAATTTGTCCAGGAAAAATGTGCTAGACAGTGCAATTACTTACTTTACCGTCCCTGCAAAGAGAGAGGTAATTTAAAACCTTTCCCAGGTCTTCACATTGTTTGCGGACTTCTCATGTCTCAAAAAGCCATGTCCCTTTAATTCTACCTAACAGCTTCTGTACATCAGCCCCCAAATGTCTTCCATCCCTTTTATCAGTATGAACTTTCTGAGTGCAAGACCACTCGTCTGCAGATCTTCCTATGTGAAGCTACCTTCCAGTATATTTCTGTTATAGTAATATTTGTACCTTATTTACATAACAGATAAAAAAACTCATCCAGCCTTTCTTGTCCATCTTGTGTCTCCCTATCTGTTTCTTCACTAAGCATGGAATCAATCTCTTCTTAAATTAAATTGATGTTGCCTCTTTCTTACAAATCACATTCCCATGTAACTGAGAGTTAAATAATATAGAGATTGACTGGGAGAGAAATATAATGAAGGCTAATGGTTACAGGTAGGTAGGTTATGTCTTTAGATCCATTAAGAGAAGTTGGTCTGACTTGCTGAAGAGGCTAAGGATAATGCTGCCTTTTGATGAATTAAACCAGATCAATTATATAGCTGCTCAAGAGGAAAACCATTTCCTACTATTTTTCTGAAAGAAAACACAAGTCAAACAATTAACTGTAGTTGAGTGTCAAGGGTACTAGGTTCTGAAAATGGTTAAGGCTGATATAAACATTTTACTCTCATCTAGGTTGCAAATTAATTATCCTACATGTTGCCACAAAGTGTAAAAGCAAACAAGTTTAACAATGTTTGAAAAGCACCATTGTTTCCTCAAGTCATGGCACAGTTAGATCTAAAATTGTGAATTGTCCTCTAATAAAGAGTACTGTTTCTCTGTTTTTCCTTCATCTGCTCAGTACTCATAAAGCTGATAATTTAAAAAGAGAGAGTGATTTTTTTTTTTTTTCCTTTTTAAGTCATCTTAGTTATTGCTTTGTTTTGTTTGTTTTGTTATTTTTAAAGGTTGTTGCTACTACTGTCATGCTGGAACGGAAATTGCCACGGTGTCTCTGGCCTCGCTCCGGGATCTGTGGCCGGGAATATGGGCTAGGGGACCGATGGTATCTCAGGTGAGTTTTCTTCTAATGCACATAAGGATCCCAGAAGAAGCATTCAATGCATGGATACTAAAAAAGAGCCATTCCAAGTGCCTGGAGAGGAGTGTTTATAGTCCTTTTCTTCTAGAATACAGATCCCAGTCCATTTTATGTCTATTGGAGACAAGCAGTGTTCCCCTCAGAAAGTTCTGTTGTGCAATTCCTTGCATAAATTACTGCTATCCAATAATCCCAGGAGACATACCTCAGAAACTGCATGTCATCAGGCCTGATTTTTTTTTTCAAACTCTTTATAATGATTACAACAAAACAGTACTGCTATGCTTTGGTTATCTGTCCTTATGCATTGGATGCATGAAACAGCAGAGGCAGAAGCAATCAATTTGGTGCTCAACAGAAATGAACTGCAATTCAGATGACTGAAAAATAGGACAAGAATAATTAAAGATAAGCTTTCTTTCTGGTGTGAACCTGATAACTATAATATACTTAGTAAGGACTGCATCTGGTGACAAAGTCTCGGGTCCAGGATTTCCATTTAAGTCCTGAAATAACAGGCAAACTGTCTATAATCTAAATAACAAAAGATTCCTCACCATTTCTGATTTTACTCAACATTTCTACCAGCTTGAGAAAAGAATAAACATTGTTTGGTCAAGCATCCTTTCCCAGGGCTTCATCTTTTGCTGATAAAGCCAGAAGGGGGAGTGGTGGCTGTATGAAACAGGACTTTCTTCAGGTGTCAGCAGAGTACTGAGCCTTGTGCATTTTCAGGTTTGCTGGGCAGAACAGACAAATCTGGTGTTAACAATAAAGGCTTTAATTGCAAGGTGCAGAATATCACTTTGCAAGAGCAATATACCAGCAGCAGTTCTTCATGGGATGCAAAAAGAAAGGAGTGTTAGTGTGATCTACATGTAGTTCTGTCAAATGACATGTATGGTCTTTGTATATGGTATATATATTACATGTACATATATAGTATTCACGTGTCCCCATGTATATAGGGACAATATGTCCAAGTTTTAAGTAAAGCAGAGAAGGGTTGGTGGAAGTAGAACAGATAAATCAAAGTTCAGTAAAGTATAAATGACATCCTGAGCTTAACAAGTATCAAAGAAGGAAAGACAATGACAAAGGAAATAGATTAATATATTTGTATATAAAAAGGATCTGGAGATGGAGTCAAGTGGTCAGTTGCTTACAGATGTCAAAGTGGAAAAGGCAAATCATGACTAGGTAACAAAGTAAAGGACAGAAAATAAAAATGGAAAAGAGTACTGAATTCAGTGTCAGGAATGAAAGCCTAGAAAGGAGATTATTGTGCTGGTAATAACTGAGATGGTGAGGATAATTTTATGAGAGCATATGTTAAAGAGAGAAGAAAACTAAAAGAGCCATGCCTATTAATCATTTTCCTGTTTCTGCGTAGATGTTTTTGGGGTGGCTGGGTCTGTAAGCATATATCTGGAAGAGGCCTGCCTCATCATTTTGTTGGCACAATTGTACTTAATTCTGTTTATGTTTTTTATCCTCTCACAGAGTAGAAGACAGGGTTGATCCCAACAAACACAAGATGATGCGGTACACAGAAGCGTTTAAGGCTCATGATAGGGATAACTGTGACAAAGGTCCGGAAAAACTGGAAATTGACAGTAACATCTTGTACAAGAAGGAACTGCCTGCTCTGTCATTGTCACGGAACACATCAAGGATGAATTCTCACAGTGGCTGGGAAATCCTGAGGCGCAACACCTTCCACTCAATTCATGGAGAGGTCAATCATGCCATGGAGGAAGAGGTATATGATGTCTAAACCTCTCTTTTTTTTGTTCCTTTTTTTTAAATTGTTTTTATTTTTCCACTCCACAATGTAAATCTCATTTGCCACAGCAGTTGTCTCCTCCAGCTGTTCATACACACTCAAGCATGCTACAAATTCAACAGCCATGAAGAACTCTGCTTGTGCATTATGAATAGTTCATGGTGACTATGCTATGATATACAAATTCAGTCTTTTCTCTTCTACCTTTTAGGTGTCCCTGTTGTTGCACTAATATTTGCACCAAGTTGGTGGGCTTGTTGATCTAGGGCCTGTGGTTGTTTGCAATTCTTTGTAGTAACCTAGAGAAATGAGCAATAGAAGCCAGCACTGGGATTTCAACTATTTACAAAGAGACAAACAGTAAGACCTCTCCCAGAGTATAACATTTAGTATAATCTCTCCCTCCAGTCTTACAATATCCCTCACAATATCCTAGAGCTCTCATTGCAAATACACCTGGCTGAAGTACTGTTTTATGATTTAGTACAGAAATGAAAAACAAAACAACAAAAAAACATCTGTAACTAATCTCAAGAATGAAGGTAGTTGCTGACACTGTGATGATTACAAGGCCTGTAACTATTCAATCAGCATTCAGGCCTGCACAGATTTTGCCTTCTGAAGAATGAAAAACTCTTCAGAGAGCTGCATTCTAGCTGCATTTTCAACGTTGCTATCGTAGTAGGACTCCTCTGGTTTATGATTTTCATTTTTTATTTTATTATTTTATTATTTTTTCAACATAGGAATGCACTTTAAGCTGTGTGTTTGTTTGTTTGTTTGTTTGTTTAAGAAAGAAGTGATTTCTGTTCTTGGAAGGATCCTGAAAGATCTGAAGTGGGATTTTTTTTCCTATTGAGCAGATGATCTCTGAAGGTCCCTACCAACTGAACTATTCTATTCTATCCTGTTCTAGACCTGGTTAGGTGCCTTTCAGCAGTGTGTTATCAAGCACCAAAGTGAGCTGAAGCTTGCTTTTCCTTTCCTTGGAAGAGTAGGGTTCTGGACCATAGTGCTTTGACTTACTACTGAGCCACTGAATTCAGTCGTAGTAGTAAACTACAATATATCGGTGAATGAAATGAAGAAGAAATTTTGGATAGACAGATAAGAGCTATTGTAAAAGGAGTTCAGAAACTGGTGTTCGCACACACACATGAGAAGCCTCAAACTATCTAATACATGTCTAGGTCATCCATACAAACATGATGGTCACAGAATCACAGAATCACAGAATTTCTAGGTTGGAAGAGACCTCAAGATCATCGAGTCCAACCTCTAACCTAACACTAACAGTCCCCACTAAACCATATCCCTAAGTTCTACAATGATGTTTCAGTCTGTCAGTATGTCATCTGCCTAGGGCCACTTTAAGAAAAATAGAGAAATGCTCGGAGAAGTGGACTATCATTCCTGGGGTTTTAGCATTTTTAGGTTTCATTCCAATAGCAGAAGCGAGTGAAAATCAGCAGATGGTCTTAACATTTCCTTTCTGACTGTACCAATGACAGAACGTTTGTTTTTTAAGAAACCATGGATTGTAATCTAGCACTAGGCTTTGAGTCAAACCACCTTGTGATAAGCAAAGCAGACAACAAAAAAGCTGAATCCAGTGGATTTCTGATTGTTCTGCAATATCACTGCAAACACCTCCCACATCTCCTCTATTGCAGGTGTTGTAATAAGTGTCATGATCTTTGCAATTATGTGTATTTATTTAAATGTTGTCTTTCTATTTCTTGAATGTGTAGTTATATGAGACTGTCTCTCTGTACTTCAGCTGCATACCTTCTGAGCTGATACATTTTGTTGAATTGAAAGTTTTTTTTACTTAAGTGTTGTCAGCCCTTCCCTAAATATTTGGGGTTTGCACTGATGGTCTATGGATATGGAAACAATGTGGAGCATTAAGCAAAAATATGAATTGTTGCTCTAATTTTAGATAAATTTTCTTTCCAGTGAATGGGAAATAACAGGAAGGAAAGAACTGATGGCTTCCCCTCTACTCTCACAGTCTTTTCACTAGCTTGAAAAACTACAGAAATACATTTAAGATGGAGCTGACTGGCCATTTCTGCACAAGGACTCCTCTTTGTCATTATTTAACAATAATAATAATAATATAATAATAATAATAATAAAAACTAGTTTGACATATACACTGTGTAAACCCTGGCTCTAAGAATGCATTTGTGTTCTTCTTCATCACTTTAAACAGTAATGAAAATTTTGACCGTAGAACTCATAACAATATATTGACTTTGCAGGAGGCAAAACAGAACTCAGTTAACAGTGCTAGGCTTTTATAGACTTCTGTATTTGCCTTCCATAAGGAGAAAAAAAATCCCATATTTTTAAGGTAGTGCCTTTTTAAAAATTGCAGTCTGTAAGCATTAGATTTCAACATTTTTGCATAGAAACCATGCACAAAACAGCATTAAATCCGTGTAATTTATTTACATACATTTATTTATTTTAATCTGTGTAATATATTTGGACTCGCTTTATGTCAATAAGTGTAGAGAAAATATGGTAATTCTTGTGGTGTTTTAGAGATCAGTTTAGACCGATTCTATTCAAGCTCAGAGCTGAACAACAGCTATTGGAAAAAAATTTCAGGTGGTAAAGGTCAGCAGAAATAATGAAGACAAATATATTAAATTTAATTTGTAATTCTAGAATATCTACCCTTTTCTATTAGGGCATATACACACTTGCTGGGCCTATATGAATGTCAGGAGGCACCAGAAAAACATTGCATTGCTGGCTCAATGCAATCTATCTCAAACAGGGAAACAACAATGACTGTAGTAACACAAAAGGTAAAGCACTTTTGCTTTAATATTCTGCATGAATATGCTCCTTCAGGATTTGATCCAGTGTTTTGCATTTTGTGATGTAGATATAAACTAAAACTCCAAAGCAGTATTGCTCCTTTTTGGCGTTGAAAGGTATCTCCCTTATCCCTCTTGACAACATTGCAATGATTTCAAAACCAACATTCCTACCCTCCTTGAAACTGTTTATCTCAATCTATCTTCCAAACTACTGAAGTAACTTCTGAGTTTATGATAATGTATCAAGAATGAATGTTCTGATCCAGCTGCATGTATTAAAATGACAAATATTTTGCTGAAAATAAAAAATTTAAATACATGGACTGTCTTGTCTACTACTTTGTGTCTAAAATAAATATCATGGGATATATATATATTTTTTAATAGCAGTCATGGACATCAACTGACATAATATTTGGATCATCATGTTTGGGTCCAAGTTAAATTTTTGGATTAAATCCCTTTTTCCACAGCAATCTGCTTTGGAAATTCCATTATACAAAATCTGTGCAAAAGTTTTCACTGCAGCAAAAACTGCAGTACAAGCTCTCTTTGAAGAAGCCATATCTTTACATTGGTGTAATGATGTATATCAGAGGGTGAGGCAATAATGAGGTATAGTGAGGGGGAGGCATAGTCCTTGCTATAGCTGCTTACAGTAAAATGCATATAGAATTGTTAACAAATTGAAACATATTAGATATGAGTAGAATTGTTAACAAATTGAAACCGTAGTTTAATCAGGTTTGTATTTGCACTTTTTTTTTTTCTCATTTGCAATACCTAGCTTTACTTGCAGTAATATAAACTATGTTTCAGATTTTAATAATAAATACAATAACAAAACCATCTTTATCCATGTCTTAATAAACAAGAAAATAAGAAATAAACAAGTTAAAACAAGAAAACAAGAAATAAACAAGTTAAAACTACATGTTATATTTTTTTTTGGAAACTTTTCCAAATGAGAATAAACTTAGCAAATACCTGGTTCATATAAGATTGTGGTAATACTTATAGCCATTTACTATTGATTTTAAGAATTAGGTTATTTTTATTTCTGTAATGCTAGCATTTTAATCAAAGTCTCCTTTGTGCACAAAGAACTCTTTGGCAAGAGTTTTGAGCCTGCCTTGAGAAAGCTTGCAATGAAATTTGAGAGAAGAAACCTGTGATGATGTAAGCAAGAATTTCTGAGATGGGTGTTATGATCAGCCTCTGGTCTTGCTACTCTTTTATAATGGGTTGAAAATTGCAAACTGTGTAAGTTCTGCTGCTATTTTTCCCCTGCTGCAATAGAAGCATCTGTCTGCATACATGAAAAACTTGTTCTTAAGACTCATTAACAAAATACAATCTCAGTTAATTCTTTGCAAAGAAGAGGGACTTTAACCAACTAACATATCTCAGAAAGACGTGGAACTGGGAAATGAAATATTACCGTGTTTCTTAAGCTCAACTTGTCTATAACATCAGAATGAATGATTTAAAAAAGAAAAACAAAAACACTCTGAGATCTCTAAGCTGATCTATGAGTTTTCATATAATATACTAATAAATTAAAGCTACCAGGTGGACAATATTTGCAACATGTCCTAATTAACTATATTACTGATTATTAACTAAAGCTGGAGTGACAGCCACCTGGCAAAATCATTCTGTGCATTAATTGTAGCCCCACTTCTATCTGGGAGAAGGAAGGAAAGTTGAAGAAAGTGTAGTAGCTTCCTAGACTTTCTAAGGGGGCAGCTGGGAAAATAAAGCATCAACCAGATGAAAAAAGCTACACATTCATTGTCAGAAACATTGATTTCTGTAGCATCTTGAAAGAGAAATTATCAAACTGCCCAGTTACTTAAATGCAGAATATCTAAAGCTTTGCTTGAGTTGAATGAAGAATCTGCTGTAGATGTGGATTAAGGCTTTCTATAAACACATCCAGTTATAAAGGTATTAGTTGCTCTCTCCTGTTTCTGGCTATGTTCATTTAGAAAAATAAAAATTTTTATATAATAGGAAAATATGAGATACAATTCTGCATCAAAAACAATTTCATGGCAAAGGCTATGGATTAGAATAAACAATTGTGCCTTTCAGGAAATAATAGTAAATTACAGATTTTTTTCCTAGTGTAATTCTCATTTCTGTTGTAAATTCTTCTCTGGCTTTTCCTACTATATGTCTAATACATAATAGAAAATTCAACAACTTGCCATGAAAACCACTGAAAACCAGTTAGAGAGTAAATTGTTTTTTTAAATTTGTAAATTATCTCATTTCTGACCTTCAGAAATGATCATGACTACGAATGACAAGCCTATTATAAGATAAGGAGTGGCATGTTTGCTTTGTTTTTCCCTACTGCTGTGGAAAATAATCAGTTGTGTCTTCTCACAAATGCAGTCTTTTTAGAATTATGCACAGTGAGGACTACAACAGATGTAGTTTAGTTTGTCTCTCTTTCTCTCTCTCTCTTTTTTTTTTTTTTTTTTTTTTTTGAGTTAGATTTCCTTGCTTATTATTTTAAGCCTATATGTACTATTTTGTATAGCTTTTGTGTAGGGATCGGTGCATAAGTGGAGGTAACCCATAGACAAATACAGTTCTAGACTTCTGAGAACTGTATGTTATTTCAGGAGAAGCCTGTGACTATAGATTAAATTGATGAGTGTAAAGATATGTAGAAGAAGAATATCTGCTCCTTTATGGGTAGCTGGTTAAGGGCCTTTTCCAAGGCAGCAAGGGATAGTAAGAGAGGCAGGAAATTATGAGAACCAAGACTGGTCTATCGCGCTAATTTACAAGAGCAGGTGAGAATGTAGGAATGTTTATACCAACAGGGTTACCTGACTGAGGACTTCCAAGGTGGGAGACAGTTACAAGAAACAAGCCTTCCAGTCACACTAATTGATGGTCTAACAAGCTACAGGTGCCACTCCCAGGAAGGATGGAACTTGCAAATGTTGAGATTGCTCACAAAGGTGCCCTGGATTTGAAGGGTGCTGAAACTATAGAACTCTGAAAAGCCCTTAGAGGGAAAAGGGTGGAAGGACATGGTGGTGGTTCCAGAGGTAAGAGGTAGCAAGAGGAACAAAGAGGGGGTACGGGTAGAAAAGTGTACAAGAGAGATGGTGTCTGTAAAAAAAGACTGATCAGTATCCTTCTCTGCCTGAGCCCTGTGCCTTATCACCAGTCTGTCCTACCTTCTTATGTCTCTCATTAAATTGTTTTCCTAACTATCTCTCTGCATATTTGTACTCTTTCCCATGTGTACATGAGCTGAAAGGATTAAGTGCCAGCTACTGGTAAGACCTGGATGTGAATGACTGAACCTCAGTGCCAGCTACTGGGACCAGGTCAGGGAACAAACACCCTGCTGGCCTGTGGTGCCAGCTACTGGAGTGAGTGTGGGGGGTCTTAGCACCAGTCGCTGTGGAACCTGTGTGTATGTGAGTGGAATTGCTGCCAGCTACTGGAGTCAGACTAAGGGTGTAGGCACCCATGGACTGTGGTGCTAGCTACTGGAGCAAATGAAGATCATAACATCAGTCTTTAGAAGGACCCTGGTTGTCTGGATCTGAAAGGGGTCCTACAGACTTTGAGTCTGGAGTGCCAGCTACTGTGGGGATTGGTGTGACTGAAGTGGATGCCAGCTACAGAAGTCAGACTAGCAGAGTAAGTGCCACTGGCATATGGTGTCACTGGAGCGAGTAGCAGGGTCTCAGTGCCAGCTACTGGAATGATCCTATTTCAGCCACTGGGATGGGAGCAGCATGTGTTCCCAGACCAGCTCCTGAGGGGAAATGTCATAAGTAAGGTGAGTGAGGGGCTCTACACTGGTGGCTGGACCAAGGCATGGGTCACAGACTGGATGCCTAGTGATAATTCCTGGCAGGGAGATGAGTGTCTGTATCTTCCACAGCCCTGGTGTATATGGTTTGTGTGTGTGTGTGTGCTAGCAATTTTCAAGCTGGACTAGCTGGTGAGTAGCAAAGGCCTGGGGTCTGGGCCAGAGTATCAGCAGGGCCAGTGGTGCTCCTTGCTTGTATGCCTAGGGGGACTTGCAAAAGTGGTGTGCATGAGTGCTAAGTGCATGCTTGTTTGCAGCATACTTTATCTCACTTAACATTGAGATCAAGAGGCAGATATAAGATTACGAGAAGACCCAAGAGTACGTATATGAGAAATAGCTCAGAAAAATTTAGACTCTCTTTTGATAGTTTTTTTGTTTTGTTTTGTTTTTAGTTCCAGGATAATTCTTTTCTATGAAAGCTCTTTTTCTAACAGTCTACACATATTGGTTTTATTATCAAGTTCTATGTGGTGAAAAAAGCAGCTTGTAAGTCATACAATAAAACTAGCAAACATCAGGATAACATATTTTCCTGTCAGGAAGTGCCCTCAGTGCTAATAAATTGACAAAAGGTAATTTTGGATAAAAATGCAGAGTTTTAAAAGACAAGCATGCAGATTATTCAATACTTAAAAAATTATCTGGAAGTACATAGGGAAGGAACTGCTGGAGTATTAAACAAAAAGATTAAAATATTGAAACGAAAAAAAAAATACTTCACTCCCAATGAATAAAATGAAGATATAAAGAGGTTAAAATATTAAGACATTCACATATAGAATTATTTTTTTCTGAATAGATCAGCAAAAGGGCTATCAGAACTACTAATCACTGACAACACTGATGTGTGTTGTGAATTAAAGCTAATTAGCTATTATCAATATTGTCTGACCAGGCAATAGGAAAGCTAGTCTCACATAAGTAGATACATACATGCTAATAATAACAATAACTTCAGAGTTTAACTAATTCCATGTATGTGGGTCTTTAGATCTTCGTAAAAAAAATATTTTTTTAAAATTTTTTTTAAAGAAAAGATCTTCTCTTTAGTTATGTAGAAAATCACTTTTCATTATTTATATCTATCCAAGTTTAAATCGGTCACTTGTTTTGTATTGCAAGGAGGTAGGTCTGACACAATATCATTTGGTTTGTACAGATTTTTCTGTTAATAGGAGAAGCACCATTGTGACTGCATTTGTATTTTTCTTAGGGAGTGCTCCTCAAGCTCTTCTAGCACCCACTTCACTGACTACAGACATTGGAAAGTCCTTGAAATGCTCTTCAAAACACTCTGAAAAGTACATCTAATGATGTTTGCTTTACCTAAGCAGTTTTCAAGACCACAGATCAGATATTCATGTAGAAAAAATGTTGAACAAAGCCATAATTGCAACTCATGTTTGGAATGGCAAAGTGTTTGTAAAAATGTCTGTAAAAAACATTTATAAATATCTAGTCTTTGCCCTTC